TGAACTTGCATTCCATTTGTTTTCTTTGGCCCCTTAGCAGAAATACCGAATTATTAATAGTTTCTCCATAGAAAGTGTTATCATTTAATGATTGTCTGTGTTAACTTTTTTCTCTTGAATTATCAGATTTATATTCTGCAGTTAAAACTTTACTGCAAGAAAATGACTTACAAGATGCAAAAACATCACAGTTTATTGCATTTAGAAGGTAAAGTGGTTACAGTATTTTAACACTTTTAATCTAGCTTTTACTCTCATACTTTACTAACGTTTGGGTTCTGTTTGGATGGGAGACTCTCTTATTTCATCACCGTTAACTCTCTTTCTTATTTTGGGATATTTTTTTGTTAGACATGGCAGAGGGTACTTTCTAAATAGGGCTTTTCCTACCAAATATTATCTTTAGAAAACTCATAGGAAATCTGAATGGAACAAAAGTTTATGTTAAGATAAAAATTATAAAAATACTTTTTCCTGGAGAAAGTTCTGGAAACTTTTTAGAGAATCTGGTATGTCATAATTGTTGGTAAGATAAATAAGCACATAACAGACACTATTAAGGTGACCCTTGCGCTTTCATGTGTTTCAGGCAAGACTGTGACCTCATCAACGACTGCTGCTGCAGACACTACACAGGCCACCTAATCAAGTGAGCGTCTTCAAGAACTGAAACTTTTGAGGACAGTCCTTTCTTGACTCGCTATTCTTTTGTTTGCTTTGACATTTATCATAGCCACACATTTAAAAATATTTTTTCCCCTCATTTGTGAAATATAACAATCTCTTCAATTAAATATAATGTATATCCTTAGAAATTGACTTTTTGGTAGTGAGTGTATTAAGAAGAAAAATAAGGAATGAAATTTTCCTTATGATTTCCAGGTTGGCAACCCATAGCTTCTCCAAGATGAGTGTGGGGAGTTCAGGCAAATTTTAAAACGGTAATATGTGTGTCGTGCTTCTGAGAACCTTAGCAATAGGATGCCTGCAGAGAGCACCTTAGTGAGTGTACATCAGAGACTTGTGAGTGTAGAGAAGCCACTCTGTTCATACATAGGAGAAATTAATTCATTTCTCTTGAATTTAACTATACCTACTCTTTGCCAAGTGTTGAGATCCTAGAGATGTACAAGGTACAGGAGGAGCTCCTGTCTGCTGAGGAAGATACCCAAAAATCTGGAGGGAGCTTGATAAAGAGCTAGGAAGCCTGGGCCTGAGGCCATGCACTCAGCATCCCCGTGGTAACTGGTAGCTTGCCCAGGTAACTTCCCCTTCCCATGTATGTGAAAGAAGACACTTATACAGAATTTCCCTTAGAGTTGTAGTAAGAATGAAATGAAATAATAAAGCACTTATCACAATAAGTGGCTTATCACCACCATTTATCCAATTTGCTGCTGGTATTCTGATACAGTGTCATAATCATTACAACAGAAATATGTTGTAGGACCTGAAATAGGGTAGTAATAGGAGAGATTGGAGAGGAAGGATGAATTTTAAAGGAAGAATCAGTGAGATTTTTGGTAACTTAGAATATAGAGGGAAAGAGAGACATTAGCATTTATGCCAAAATTTCTAACTTGAAAGTATTTGGCTGGGAAGTGTCATTGAGTTTGAGGAGATGCTGTGTGTGTAAATAGTCTAATGACAGCT